AGTGATAACTCAGTGCTTCTTATAACATGACATAAATTAGAGTCAATGGAATATGTATACAATGTGTTGAAATTGGTTCACACACTGGTCAGTTTCTCAGAACAGGAAAGATTCTCTAGGCCATGTTCTCAACCACATTCTCTCTATCTAAGGAGCAGCCTTGGAGGAATCATATTAATCACACGGGCCACAGTTATGGTGCGACATTCCCTTTGGCAAAAGAATAACTGATTGGTGTGAGTAATTGTTCTCACAAGAGCAGCTTCCATTTCACGGAAAGGAATTTACAATTATATGGTGCGCCATGTGTGCGTGCACACATGGACATGTATTTTATTCTGCATTGGGGCTGAGATTGGCTTCTGAAGCAGTTTACAATAAAATGAAACAAAAATGTAAACCTAAAGGGACAATTTGAGGGCATTACAGTAGCTTTTTCTTGTCCCTTAAACCAGATTTCATTGTCCAAGCTCCATGCATTACGCTTTAGTGGGAGCGTAGAAAGAGGTGCACCTGGATTCTAAGGATATTTGTTGGCTGAGATGCCAGACTATTTAAGTTGTCATGCTTTTGATCTGCAAAATTTCCTGGTCTCTGGGAGTTCAAGAATCTTGAAAGAGAAAGAAAGAGATTTTCTGAATGCAGTCCTATAGAAATAAGACACAGTTCTTTGGAAGTTGATCAAAAGGAAGATGGATTCCATACTAGACATTAAGGATGTATGAATGAAATTTTCTATGTAAGTCGACAGGCTTTCGGATGAAACTCATACAAATAAAGTATGACACCAAAACCCGCAGTTTAAAAACAATATAATATAATATAATATAATATAATATAATATAATATAATATAATGCAAAATGGCACATTCACAATAGTTTTAATAAGGAAAACTTTTCCCTTTGTCTTCATTGCTTTCATGAAGAATATGTTCACACTTTTTGTGTCAGACAAGGCCCTTTTTGCATTTCATGGGTAACAATTGGCATTTGCATCATATGGAAGAGTACACAGTGCTGAAAAAATATCTTAAAGAAAGAAAGAAAGAAAGAAGCTGTTTCACTTTTTTTTCTCTTCAAACAACCACTCAGGTGAATGGGATCTTCCCCCTCCCCCCCATACTCAACATCTACACCACAGCCATGAACAGAAACTATGGAATGGTGCTCCTCTGGGGAGGTACTTGATACCTGGCATGAACACAGTGGTGGCCTGAGCAATCTTGCCACCTGAAGTAGTAGGAGAAAATTGCTAACCCTGCAATCATCTGTTATCATCACCAGATACTAAAATCAGTCGTAGAGACTCTGCTTACACACTCACGGTTAGATTTGTAATCATAAGGCCTTTTCTAGAGCCTGTTCGAGTATTAAGGTCATCAGGAGAGGCCTTCCTTTCAGCCCTGCCACCTTCACAGGTGAGTTTGTTGGGGACACGGGAGAGAGCTTTCCTTGTTGATGCTCCCAGACTCTGGAACTCCTTCCCACAGGAGGCTAGACTGGGCCCATTTTTACTATCCTTCCACGAGCAGGTGAAGACCTTCCCTTTCAGAAAGGCTTTCCCTGAGCAATTGGTTGCTAAGTGGGGTTTTTAAATTGATCGTTGTGAAATTCTGATGTTTACAGTATCAGGTCATCCCTTCTCAGAAGCTAGAAATCTCAAATGCAATTTTTGCATCATGACTTTAAGGAGAAACAAGGGATGGAACTGAAATAAAAGATGACATAAATACAATGAAAGAGCAATTGCTGGACTTTGTGTGTTCTCCGTATCCACTTTTTCCACCCCTTCGCTTTCCAAGCTTGTACAGTAAATCTGTTGTTCTTCTGCAATGTAGTTCTTCAGTATTTACTCTTCCAAAAAAAAGAAATGTGCCTCAAAGTCTTTGGGAGGTCTTAGAATAATGGACAGCACAATGAGAGATGGAACATTGCCTGAAACCACCCGTTCATAAATATCTATCTTGACAACTGGAGAAATCATTAATGCCTTCTATCCTAGAGTCGATAAATAAAATGAAAGGAAGACTTCCTTCCGAAAGGGGCTGTGCAGAATAGCAAAACATTATTTGCTGGGTTTTTTTTAGAAGTAAGCTTATATAATGAGCCTGATAATGGGGAAAAATCTGTTTTGCTTTCTTTTCACACTAATGAGAAAACTCAGAGGATTTCTTATGGTATGACAATGTGCCTGTCTATTTCACCACTGCCCCAGACAGGAAATCACCTAGGATCATGTCAGAGAATCCCATTGGCAGAGGAGGCAAGGCTTATTATTGGCTGATGCCCCCAAACCAGCATGCGGCCCTGCCCTGAGTTTTTTTTAATGCCCACTCTATACAGGGACGTGGTGGCGCTGTGGGCTAAACCGCAGAAGCCTGTGCTGCAGAGTCAGAAGACCAAGCAGTCAAAGCCAGCATGCGGCCCTGCCCTGATTTTTTTTTTAATGCCCACTCTATACAGAACATTCAAGAAGATGAGGGGCATCTTAAGAGAATTCTCACTCTGTATGTCCTACCTGTTCCAGGTAAGATTTTCTGTGCCAGACAGTCTCCCCTCCCAAAAATCCTTGACACAGCATTGTCAGAGAGACAAACAGATACATTTTTAAGGTCCTGCATTAATTATGTCAGCAAAATCTCATCGTCTCCATCTTTACCTATTTGCAATTCTTAATTTTCCTAGCAGGTTGTTCCAAGATTTAAGACACTCTATTATGATTAATAATCCCCCTCGGTTACCTTTTAGATTCTAAATTGAAAATGCTTCCACTTACCAAGGTTTTTTATCATTCCTTTGGCATAAATGAGCTCCAGTTTCAGGGACTGGAACTTTTAAGAAGATGGCTGAACAGTGATAGGGTATTGCTCTGGGATTAAGGGGATCATTCTATCTCTGCTTAGTTCTAGATGGCTTTATCATGTCATTTTATTCATTTTTACTTCTTCCTAGAAGTACTTTTTAAAACTCTGCCTAATTCTAAATACAGTTATTTAAAAGCAGAGCTTTGCCATAGGTGCCAAAATCCTCCAGCTGGTATAACCAGTGCTGGTTGGGGGATTCTGGGAGAGGCAGATCAAAAATGAAACTTTTCTAAGCTCTATTTAGAATCCTGGAGATGCACAGCTTCCCTGAAATCACTGACAACCTTTGATAGTCCAGCTTACATTTATCACCATTGCGTAATTCACAATAGTTTTTGAGAGAGGTACTTCAAAATTCAACCAGATGACCCAAGCGTCTGCTTGTGATTTTCCTCATCTATATACTGTATCTTGCATTTAGCATGCCTTGTTTTGTGATTGTTCACTAGAAGGTAACACAGGCTTAATTTGCAAGTCCGATTACTGAAGCTGAGAATTCCTAAAGAAATCTCGAGAATAGAAACACGTTATCAGTTATGGTGATTGTACAGTATTTCTCTTTGTGCCCAGTTTGGCCCTATTTTTTCAAACATAGGGAGGGGTGGATTTAATCTCTTTTCTCCCCTTGGAATTATGTTGTGGCAGTCTGAAAAAGCAGTGTCACATGTGGGGGAATGGCCCCTAAGGTGTCAGAAGTACTCAGTAAAACCCCACACTTGAAATTAATAATTTTCATTAAAATTAGGAGTGGGGAGGAGGAAAAGAATAAATAAACAGCACTTTAAAAGAGTTTGCTCTCTAAATAACCCAAGCTAGATCATCTTGAATCTCAAAAATACTTGTGAGAAACAAAGATCACCCATGACAACATTCTGTAGGGAAAAATCTCTATTGTCCACTTTCTGCTGGCAGTCAAAGACCTTTTTATTCAGAAGGGCCTTTGGCATTTCAGCTGGATTTTTACTGAAGGTGTATTAACTGGTTACATACTGTTACTTTTTCTTTTTGAGTTTTTCATTGCTTTTATATTTGATTTAATGTTTTAATTGCATTTGTTTCTATTTGAATTTTATTACCATTAGGTGCATGGAGTGTGTAGTAAAACATACATTTCATAAACAGCCAAGCATATAAATAATTTTGAGGTCTGGTTGGCATGCAAGCATTCAATTTCTTAGCAGCATTATGGGAAGAGAGGGAAGGGTGTATAAACCTGAGGGAAAGTTAAGCTTATTCTCACAACATTACAACATAGCATAGTGTTACATTCTATTTGTGATCACTGTGTGCAGACTGAAGAGTTAACACAATGACTGCAATCAATATTTAATATTCCCAATTTTAAAAGACCAACCCCCCCCCAAAAAAACCCCAACACCCCCCACCCTTCTTCCTTATGAGTATCTTTAAATCTGTGGCAACCACAGATCTCCTGTCACCTTACCATCACCACCATGATTGCTGACTCTCTCATCTTGCCCACCCTCCATCTTTCCCTTGTTTCCTTTGCACTGCTTGCCTTCCTGCTACATCACGTCTCCGGTGGCTCCCAAGTTAGGTTGGCCTGATGTCCAGATTCTGAGGACTCCTGGCATAACCCATCCATAGGGCCTGCTCTGAAGATACCTCAGAGCTGAGCATCAGTGGCCAGCCCATCTTGGTAGACCAAAGCTTTTGCAGGGCAAGAAGGGAGGCCCTCAGCTAAGAGGAGAAGGGCACAGTTTGCCATTCATGATGCTTCACCACCTGAGGCTTCACTCACTTCACTTAATGAATAGGCCAATCTTGCCTTAAACATAGGAAGATCTGTTCTGTTCTCTGGTGGCAGTCTCCCAAAAATAAAATAAGCGGGGGGGGGGGACACACGCTGGTCATCATTAAAACTATACACTATATGAATTGTGGAGTAAAAAGGAGTCATGATTCCCATAACATCTTGGGTAATAAAACTAACTGAAGCAGGATGGTGCCGTTGTTGTCCCTGAGTGGCAAGTACTCTCCTTGTTGCCAAGCCCTGAAGGACAGAAGTGCCTCAGTGCTAGTGGCCTCTGGCTACTGCCTCCTTTGCTCCCTGCCCACCTACTATGAACAGCAGCTCCTCCCACCTGATCATAAAAGCCAACTGCATGCTACCGGCAGCTGATCAGAGCACTTTCTCGGTCTTCAAGTGATCTCTTCCCTTTGGATCTTTCCTACTCAAGGTAAGAAAGCTTCTTTTGCAAATCTGTCAGCTGCATCCAGATGTTTTGTGGCATGCCATCTCTCCTGCTGCCCTTTTGGGGGGGGTGCTGCTCAGTGAGTGGGGTCTCTTCAACTGGCAAGATGCAAGTTGTTGTTCTAACAGTGAAAGAAGATGGATTAAATGACTGCGAAATATGTAACATCTGTGCCTGCAAAAAGGCTATTTTTTTTTCCTTTCAGGAATCATAATAATGTTTTTAAAGCCTGGAAATGTTATTTAACATTTTAAAATTTTGTTTGGTATCTCAACGAGAGAAACCTACTTAAAGTCATCTGTAAAAAATGTGCACTTTAAAGAAGGCTAAAGATTTCTCTTAACACTAGGAAAGGCCCTGCCTGTGGTCAGTTTTGTGAAACCCTCAGCATAACTTTTGGGAAGGGCACCCTCTGCACTTTTTATTGCTTTGTAAATACGGCATGCTTTGATTGTTGCCTTGGTGGAGGGACGCTAATCAGGTGGATGTTTGACAGTGGGGAAAAAAATCATCAAGCTGAGAACCTTGAGAATGTACCTCAAGAGCAAAACTTCTATTTCCTGAAATTCTGGAACATAATATAGCAAATCCTTGTGTGGGTAAATTACATTAGATTTCCCTGTGACACCATACCGGCACAGATCTTCCTCCTTCTCTCTGTGTCTCAAGAAACCTTTGAGGATGAAACTTAACAGTGAGACAGTTATGTTTATATATACTAGCCTCAATATTACGAGCACTGGCATTGAATCAGAGGCAAACGCTTCTTTTGGAAGCATTTCCTAACTCTAACTCCCTCATTATCTGCCCTTTCTTTGCAGAAGTGCATCCGATTTAGGAAGGAAAATTTCTCCTATGTCAAGTGAGCCAAAGCATTTAACCACATAGTTACCTTTTTAAAGGAATTCCATCATACAAATCCTAATCCAAGAATGCCTGCACAGTGTTCGGAAATACAAGTGGTCAGGAATTAATACGCTGTAAGCAGTAGCTGCTAACTGTACACAAGGGGCGGAGGGGGTGTGTGGATAGGCTGCCTTGCTTGATACATTAACATTTCTGCATTCCTTAAAGTAGATCTGTGTCATTCTGTTCCTTTTCAGAGCAATGCCTTTGCTTTTATAGAATACGATTTTATAAAGCCTCTCTGTAAAGGCAACGTGATAGCTTTGTACTGGGTGGAATGCCACAAACTCACGGTTGCTGTAACTGAGACGTGTGTTTGATATAGCACGCATTGCAATTTGGGGGAAAAATACAGTAAGCGTCTGAAATTTTATATCATAGTAGCAAGGGAAATAAATCCAACCAGAAGTTACATAAGTGTCTGATGTCCTCTGAAATTGCTATTAAAGTACAGAACATTTTGCTAAGCTTCATGCTTAAAGTTGGAGAGGAGGAAAAAAAATCAGTTTTTTTCTTTTCCTGGAAAACAAACGTTGAATACTTTTTTTTCAAAGTACCCCCCCACTGGTATTTTAGCACTGTTAATTATTTTAATAGTTATTTGCTGTTACGCTTAACACACAACCCTCTTCAAAACTCGAATGACTATAATTTAAGGAATGCACTTGCTGAAGGATTTGGGTTAAAATAACCAAATATTTCTGAAAATATACTTCAAGCGGTATTCCTAGCAGAGATCCTTCACGAAATGGGTTTAACACAGAAGTAGCCATACATGAGAGGCTTTTGTGAAATGAGGTTTCCAACCCCCCCCCCTTTTCAAAATGTTAGCATTTCATGGCACATTCTTACACTGGAAAGAATATTCTCAACACAAGCTAACTGTCCTGCTTGCGATTTTTCTTCACTTTAAAAATAGGTCAAGAGTTCAGTTAAGTATCTGCTCATACTGTTTCACTGGCTAAAGAAAGTTAAGCATAGAGGTGGGAAAAATACTTTTCCACATCACGTCTTCCAGGATAGTCCTGTTCTCATGGCCAGTGGCTGACTAGTGACATCACAGGTGGGAACAAAAAAAATTCTGAAGTGTTCTTTTGTAAATCAAGATCATATAGTTGTAAATTTTTGCATTTTAAGGCGCTTCCCCTCTCCAAAATACTCTATAGAAGCATTTGTATTTTGTTAACTTTTCAGCCATGTTTGTTTGTTAATGTGGACAATGATGGGGGGAACAACCCAACCCTGGTCTTTTTCCTCTCTTCCAGAAACAAAAAAAATCTCACAGAGTTGGATATTTTCTTTGATGGGTCGTCTTATTTATTTTTTATTTATTTAATTTATATCCCGCCTATCTGAATCACATAGGACCACTCTTGTTGGTTTGAGACAATACTTTTTCATTGATGATGAGAAAAAATTTCTAGTGTTCATTACATCAGTAGGCTGCGCTGACTGAGGTATTGTGGATAGTCCAGAAAAGTAACTTTTCTCATCTCTGATGCTGCATCATAAAAACAAAAACAAGACACATGAGATAGATAGTAATTCACAAAAGTTCACACTGAAATAAACCTCAGTCTTTAAGGCACCACAAATTGTTTTCCTTTTTACCTGTTATGCTGTAACAGACTAACACAGCTTCCCTCTGAAAACGGGTAAACTCTAGAAAGGGTTATATATCACTAAAAGCACTTTGGGGGGGCTTGTTAGCAACATCTGGTCAGTCTCATTAGGCAAAGCCTGCAGAAGTAATACGAAATTGTCCCATCTTTCTGTGAAACTATAGGATGCTGTGTGGTTAGTCCATAAGGTGACAATAATGTGGCATGGGGATACTCCTGGTGAAATCTGGATTTTTCTTAGGAACAATTAGTTCCACTCAACAAAATTTGGTTTTTCTGGATCCACCATATCTACTGTGGCTTTTTATGACACCTGCTGTAAGATCCTCTGAACATCTGTGGGTAGAGAGTAATGGCAAAATCTGGGTGTCCTGACTTATACCGGCAGAAGCATTTTCTACTAAGCTAGAGCCACCGCTGGATGTAGTCCATGTTCCATTGTACAATACTTTTGTACTCAAACAGAATGTTAATGCCTCTTGCATAAGAGAACATTCTCTGTTCAGACCATTTCCCTCTGACCTTCCCTCCTATACTCTCCAAATGTCCTAATAAGCAGAATGGTAGTGCTTTGATTTTCCTGAGAATTCAGAGAAAAGTTGGCAGTTTGTTTTATTTCATTGTGCTGTGTAAGAACTGATTTTAACATTTCCTTCTCCTCTGTTCAGCACACCATGCAGTTTACTCATGGGGTGAATCCAACTTTCAAATTAATTTCAGAATGACCGCTTTATTATTTGTTATGAGCTGTCCTCAGTTCTACCTGTAAATGGATGCGTTTTGCATAAGATGACTTGGGTACAACTTCCTGATAGATATTCTCATAAATACTTAAGAGTCCCGCTGAATCAGCACAAAGGCCCATGTGGCCTCATGGTCTGTTCCCACAGTGGTCACCCAGGTGGAAAGCCCACAGGAGCAAGGCAAGAGTGCAAATAGCACCCTACCGCTCATGTTTCCAAGTGACTGGTATTCAGAGACATACTCCTAGCAGAATGTTATATGCTAAGCTCTGTAACACTTTTTATGTAGCAATTCATTTCTCTCAGTGTTTACTCTATAACAATTGTGTAATTGTTATTTTAAATTTCATTGACATAAACAAAAGATGACTTCAGTTTTATTGAAAAAGATCCCTTTGGTTTTATTCCAGCTTTCCATCTAATAAATGCTTCCTCCATCACAAGGGCTCAGTCGGATAGACCACTGAACTGGTGCTTGGAAAAGAATTCCCCAGCATTCTGGGATTTGAAGTTTGATAAAACGTCTGGCCTTGTCTTTCCAGGCTCTATATTGAACTAATATTTAGAGGCACATTAATGAGTTATGGGTTTGTCATCAGCCTTCTCCTCCTTGAGCACAGCCATGAGAAGAAGCCTTTGTGTTTATTGAAGCAAGCCAACTTTAGATCGTGATTTATGAAATAACTCATTTCCCTAAACCATGATTCAGATTAACCTCACGTTGGGTTTGGTTGTACCAATAAACTGTGGGTAAATTAAGATATAAGTAAAAGACTCCATATCCTCTTTATGGAGATTCAGAGGAAGAGAGGGAGGGGGGCACATGAGCCCAAGACAGAATTCACATGTGTCACACTAATCATAGTTCAGCTTTACCACTGAATTAGGCCATGTAGCCTTACTAATATCTGTGCGGAAGCAATGTTGTAGCCCTGGTATATTTCATTTAAGAATACTTACTTTTGAAAGCTTATTTGAAGATTTGTGGTCAGCAAGGAGTATTTCCCCAAGTAAGACAACTTAGTTGTAGGCTCCATAGTGTAGCTTGCCTAAGTCATCTTAATTTGCCATCTTGCTGTGTAGGCGCTGATGCTATGAGTTTCCTTTGCCAACTGTACTGCATGTCTGGAAGATTTCCTTGTCTACGGCCCTTCCTTCTTGTGAGGCATCTGTTCTTAGAATAAGAAGCAAAGGATCTCACTGGTATGCCTCTCTTCACCTCATTGAAGGTGTAAGCAAACATGGTTGGACTGTGTCTCTGTCGCAAGACAGCTTTCATAACATACTTTCATCCCCCCTCCCTTTTTTTTACTATTTCTTATGCAGACCTGCAGTCAGATAAGGTCTTACATGATACTTATAGGGGTTAGTTGACCAAATAATATAAACATTCTACTTGAAATCATCTGGCAGCTTGGCTGCATAAACTCATAGTTATGTGCATCAGCTTTACTGTCAGCACATTTGCCATGCTCCATTTGATTTGGCAATTTCCAGTGCATTCTTCTTCTGCGCTGGTTAATTGATTCAAAACATTTGACTCAAACGTTTGACTCTGGAGTGGGAAGCCCCTTTGCCACTATAAGACTCATTAGAAAACCTTATGAATATTTGATGTTGTATATCTGTTAAGATCAACACCCAGAAAACAATGGTTGAAATCCTGTTGCACAGTTCCACATCTGCAACATGAAATTGTGGCAACAAAGTGAAA